CTGGTGGACCGGGCGCTGCTGCAGGGCCAGGTGCAGGAGGGCTTCGGTTCGCTGCGGCGCTGCTACGCGCGGGGCGCAGGGCCGCATCCCCGCCAGGCCGCCTTCCAGGGCCTCTTCCTGCTCTATAACCTGGGTGAGTCGGGGCCCCCGCGGCGGGACAGGACGCGGAGGTGGGTTCCCTGCATGTGGACAGTGGATGCCGGGAAGGAAGGAGAAGCTTTCCAATCTCACCCTTACCCCTCCCCCTCCCCCCGCTTAAATGTGTGTCAAGTCAGCGCACAGGATCCACCAACCAAGACATTTAGGTCCTTTCTGTGGCCGGAGGTGCCTTCTGATAAGTAATATCCTATTTAAATGTAATAAAATGCTGTTGACTTCACCCACTGACGGGTCAGAGGCCTCAGCCTACAAAAGCGGCCGAAGGTCCCAGGTGTCTGATTCTTGGAAGGCAAGCAGGGCCAGTACCTCCTCGAAGAAATGGCCTTGCCAAAGGGACAGGGAGGATGGTGCCCAGCCGGGGCCCTGGTCTGTGGGGCAGGTGGGGCAGTGGAGAAAGAACTGGGTTTCAAGTCAGAAAACTGGGATTTCATTGCTCTGGTCCTACTACATACGAACTGTAGGACACTTCAAGTCTCAGGCAAGTTGTTAAATGATCTGGGCCTTTCCCCCTCATGCGTGAACACTGCTTCGCTTTATTATCAGGATCCGAACTGTTTGAAGGGGCAGCCTCAGTCAGATAGGGCCCAGGAAGGGCTGAGGGAAAGGTGAAGGTGTGCTTGGCCTAGGGGAGGGGCGAGGCCGGGTGGGTGGGTAGCAGGACTGAGTGGGAGGTGGGCCTGGTGGAGGACTGGACCCCTGGGGGCTCAGGTGGGGGAGGGAGGCAGAAGCGGATGGGATGAAAGCTGGGCGTGGGCCTGGCAGACTCCTGTGGTCCTCATCCCAGCTTTCTACCCTCACAGGCTCAGTGGAGGCCCTTCACAGTGTTCTGCAGCTGCCCGCTGCCCTGCGCTCCTGCCCAGCCCTACGCACGGCCCTGGCTGTGGACGCAGCCTTCCGGGAAGGCAATGCTGCCCGCCTGTTCCGCCTGCTCCGGACCCTGCCGTACCTGCAGAGCTGCGCCGTGCAGTGCCATGTGGGCCATGCCCGCCGCAGAGCCCTGGCCTGCCTTAATCGTGCCCTGAGCACCCCCAAGGGCCAGACCTTACCCCTGGGATACATGGTCCACCTGCTGGCCCTGGATGGGCCCGAGGAGGCACGGGACCTGTGCCAGGCCCACGGGCTGCCCTTGGTTGGCCAGGACAGAGTTGTGTTCCAGAGGGGTCACTACGCTGAGGAGGGGCTGCCGCCCGCTGGGACCTGCAGAGTGTTGGTGGGAAGCAAGCTTGGCGGGCGCTCCCTGGAGGAAGTAGTCATGGCGGAGGAGGAAGAGGTGGGTGGGGACAGGTCCAAGCCCCTTGAGTAAGGAGGGGCTGTGCCTTCTCCCTGAGCCCAGGGCCGGGTCTGAGCGCTCAGGCCCCTTGTCTCATGATTCCCACACAATAAAAGGAACTGGTTTTGTAAGGACAATAGCTAGGCTTGATTTATTTGGGGAAGGGCAGGAAGGAGTTGAGAAATGTGAGGTATGAGGGTGGAGGAACCCAGAGTGGGCAAGGCCCTATTTGCCCTGGGCCTCAGTTTCCCTGCTGGTCCCTGAGGAGTAGCCCTGGTGCACTCGGGTGCTGGCATCTAAGGTTGGCATGTACACTATCCTCACCCACCCACCACCAAGAGCAACTGAGGGTTTGGCCATTCCCACCATCCCTGCCTCCTTTTCTCCACCCTCTCACCCAACAGCCAGGATGAGGGAGATTCATTCAGGGCTTGTCACTCCCCTCAGGTGACCACAACTGGTAGGGCCCTGAGCTGTTGCCCCAGAAGCTGGAAAGGATCCCAGAGTGTGACCTCCCTTGGCATCAGGGAAGACTGGGACACCCAAAGAAAACGAGTGGGGAGAGGGTTCAGATAAGGGGGGGTAGTGGCGAGCTGAGGAAGGAAGGCTGGGGTCAGAGGTCAGCCACAGGCCTCAGGGTGGCTGCTGCACCCTCCAGGGCCACCACCACAATGCTGAGCTGCCTCTGCACCTCAGCCCAGGCCGCAGATCCTGGGTCTGTGTCGTTGGCCCTGAGAAAGGCATTGGCCAGGCCTGGGAATGTAGCTACGACGCTTTTACGAGGAGCCCAGAGCACGTGGCTACCAGGAGAAATAGGGAGCATCGGTGCAGCCAGCATCTCAGCCCGGGGAGTTCAGGCTGCCCTGTGCCTCTGGTCAGGGGGCCTTCGTATCCAGGCTGATGCTGTGCCTCTCCAGCAGGGGCCCCAAGTACAGCTGGGCAGCCTGCAGGAAGCTTCGGAGGGTCTCACTGTAGTCACTGACGTTGAGAGGCAGGAAAAGGCTGTCACTGAGACGAAGAAGCACATTCCCCGCCGTCCTGGCCACGGCCTGGTGGCTGCTGAAGCCTGCACAGAGGGCGACAAGGCCAGGGCTCTATCTTCAGCCCATCCTCCTCCAGCCTCAGGATGCTCTTGACCCTGTCCTCACCGGGGTCCACAAACGTGTCCACGTAACCAAAGGTGTCGAAAGCTGTGTGGTAGGTGGGGTAGATCCGCGCTGAGGTCTTGCTCTGGAGAAACAAAGTCCAGATGTGACAGGCTTGAGATGGGAAGTGGGGGAGGTGTGCCTACAGTGAGCTACAATGTATATAGAGACATTCTCTCAAACCATTGCCCCATCCATGAGGTAGTTCCTAGAATTCCCACTTTATAGAAGAAGAAACTCCTGCTCAGAGAGGGTAAGTAACCTGCCTGATATCACACAGCTAATAAGTGGCAGAGCTGGGTCAGGTGCCAGTTTCCTGTTTCACATGAAGAGCCCAGAGCTTTGGAGTCGCACAGGATTTAAATCTACCTTCGCTACCCAGGAACAGGAAGGGAGAGACTTTTGGAGACACAGGCTGGGTATTCTATAACCCTGTCTCATTCACTCTCACACCAGTGCATTTAATCTGTTCTGAGATAAACTTTTTTCCTATTTAAAGATTCTGGAATCAGGATGCTTACAGTCAGTGTCATTCTACGCTTCATTGGCAGTGCAGTGCCCCCCTCCTGAAGAGTGCATGTCATGTGCATCTCACAGTCAATAGCGTCTTAAATTCGATGTTAGATGAGCCTAAGCAGATTCTCAGAGAAGAAAGTTGGGCGAGGTAGCACAGCTACTGAGTGATGGAGCCGACTCAGGCTGCTCTAGAGAAGGCAGGAGAGGCGGGGGCTGGCGAGTGGAGCAAAGTACAGAGCTGGGAGACGGAGCGGTGCGGCTCACCCGGTCATAGGTGTAGGCGATGTCCATGGAGGAGATGCCCAGGAAGTGAATGAAGGGCGCGTAGTCGCTGCCAGCACCCAGAGAGCCCACACTGCGGGAAGGAAGATGGATGGGCTGGAGGCTGCTGGGCCGGCCCGCCCGCCCGGGGCCCTGGACCTGGCCCCAGCCCCGGGCTCACCTGGGGACCAGGCCATACACGGGACTGCTGCGGTTGAAATACCGGATCCAGTTGTCGTAGATGCTGAGGCTGCCGGGGCCTGGTGCTGGGATCTGACCAGAGGGGAATGTAGTCTCGGGGTTGGCCCCGCCCCGACCCAACAATTGACGGGTCCTCTGCCCGGCCCACCCTAGTCCCCAGCCAACGCACAGTCCTGCGGGTCCTACAAG